TTGGACAGTCCAATTTTGTGTCCAAATTACTATATTAGGTAATTTGGACACAAATTGGATGCTTGCTGTTCTATCCAATGATTATGTTTAAAAGATGCATCATTCAAAATTCTTCCAGAAAGAGCCTTCCTATTTGGATTCAGCCATTTGAAAAGGTATTTTTACTTCTTCACTTTCCATCCACCTGAAAGCCAAACCATTAAATACAGTTATATGAAGCAGGCGATCATCTAATATTGATTCTTCAGATTTTGTAAGAGTATGTAGCATAAATCTCTTAATATTATATTTATTAGTATTATTGCTTTGAAAAGAATCAAAAGACAAATTTGTGATGTGTTTATTTAGCAATGTTGATGATGATGTTAACATTGATGTGGATGCATTAGATATATTGTTATTGCCTGAGATAAAAAACAAAATAAGGAAACAAAAAAATTCTTAATTAAAGAATGAGGTTTATTCCTCACTGTTCTAATTCCAAATTAACACTATATTTTATATCACATTTTAACCAAGATGGGTCCAAGTGCTTACATTGCTTAGATTTTATTAAGGGTGGCGTTGATAAGCATGTTCAATCACTTGTAGAAGTTTACATCAAATTAATTTGAATAGTAATGCTGAAGGTGAAGATCCCGATTCTATTCTTGAAGATGACAATGATGACATTAAAGAATCTGCAGATGAAATTTTAGCCCCATGAGATGATACAATATGGCAATTTCTTCAGCTATAGCTTTTTTTGTATTTTTGTTTGATTACTATTATAAGAATTTTTGTTATGTGTAAAAACAATCTAATAAATAATGAACTCAAATTATTTTTAATCATTTTGCTACTGCATAAGATAGTTGTTACTTGGCTAATAAGAATTATGATAATTGAAAAATAATGGCAGTAGTAGGTTTGTAATTAAGTGAATTTATTTTAATATCATCCAATAAAATTGAACCAATTAAATTACAAAGTTTAAGAAATGATCTACAAAAAATTACCAATCATACAAACTTCTGCCTATGATTGTGTATATGTTTGTTGATCAAATAACAATTCTTTTTCTAAATAATAATAATATCATTTGCAAAGAATACAAAAAAAGAAAAAAATGATTATATTGTAATGTTGTTAATAACAATATTGTTGATAACAATCTTGATAATAATAACATAATAATCAACTAATAACTTCCACTATGCTTTTTAAATATATAACCCTTTATATAAAATAGTCTATTGACTGTAATTAATTAATAAACCCAGTGTGGTTATTCCAGCCCTTCTAATGATTAATGGTCTGGCCAACCTTTAACTATTAGTTGGGAACTCTTTTAATTATTAAACATGTTGCCTTTGGAATATACATGGATGCACCAACTTAGGGATCTTTTATCTAGACTTTGGGTTGTAAGATAAAAGAGCCATTGGCTGTAATTTAGAGGTTCTAGGAAAACCAGATATGTGTTGATATTTGGACTTAGGGTCAGTAGGTATAATTATGGGCTAATTTGGGGCAAAATAAAACCAGCTGTGTGCCAAACATAAGAATTACCTGGTAAGTAAGTAACTCAGATCGCACACTTGCAATAATATATAACAATAACATTTATTTTTATATTACTTAATCAATTATCCATCTATAAATGATAGAAATGTCAACCAATTTACTAAAATGCAAGGAAATTTTATAAAAATTTTCTATTGTGGATGGGTGAAAAAGTACTACCTCCCTGACTGTAGCACAAGTCCCATGAATATTTTATTTATTATTTTGCCAAAAGGATTAAAAAGAAAAAATAGATAAGTATGTAATAATAAGATTTATTTATCTTCCTTTAAAAGATTTCTGTTGGGCAATAGTATATTTTCATTTATTATTATTCTTTCATCTTGATAAATTTCATAAGTAATTCTTTCTTTACTAAGATAAGCTTCAAGTGTCTGAGTATCATTTATTTTGAAATATAAGGATAAATTTTTCACCCTGCTCCTTTTTTAAAATATTTCTAATGGTGCTGTAATTCTTGGGTTTCCTAGATCTAATATAAATTAACTTCATATTAATTATTTTGTCTAGACAAATATCATGATCACATTACAATTGTACTATTGATTCCTGAAATCCTTGGTAACACTTTGTCTGGTTTTGTTGCAACATGCCCCATATTAATAAAGTCACCACCCAAAATGAATCTTTGCTTACTTCATACAAACTGATGATCTTGCAGTATCAGTTGGTCTGCAGAAGAAAGTTGATGATAATAAAGTGGATGTTGATGAAGAAGAACCAAATATTGATTTGAATGGATGCAAAGTATTTGGACTGGATCCTGGAAGAATAGATCTGTTTGTAGCAGTGAGTTCAGATGAAAAAGTTGTGAGTTGTTCCAACAAAGAGTACTGGAATTTAGCAGGCTTGTAAAAAACATGAATTGGAAAAAAAATAATCTTCAGGCTGTTATTTGAGGTGAGCTATACTTTGTTAATTTAATTTGCTATTAAACAAGAATACATGTAAATTCTCTGTTATTTCGTTAAACAAAATTTTTTTTAAGAATCTTCATTTAAATTTAGGAAAGTAGTGTTCCCATCCTCACACCAAAAAATTACTAATAAAATGTCAACGGAATTTTGATCTTCTCTGATATAGACTTTAGAATACAAAGAAGGCATATATAATGAATTCTCAATGCGGAATAAATTGTTCGTCTCCTTATATTTTGAGCAGCGGCTCCAGTTGGAGCTGATAGGAATTCTATGTCTTGTAAATTCTCTTACTAATATACAGTATTAATTACATAAGATTTCCAGTTGTGTGGCTTTGAAAAAATTTTTTGAACTGGTCTTTCCATATGAATCATCATCATTGAGATTAATCATAGAACATTACATTGGATGGATCAGTTACAAGATACTTTACTTGTGTTACAGATAGTTTCAAGGAGAAGAAACATTAATTCCATAGAACCCATTTGGCGTGGATACTCATAATAAACATTACCTTCTTGGATGTTAGATAAGTGAAAAGGCCCAGGTTTTGATATATATTCCTTGGTAAACTTTTCATTAAAGCATATTGTGGATTGATCACTTTCTTTCAATTATATTCATAGTAATATTTGTAAATAAATTTAACTGGCAAATTAAATAATATTGTTGATTAAAAAATAGTATTACTGTGGATTCCAGGTATAAAATTGTATAATTAATAAATTTTTTCACACGTTTATACATTTTTTAAAAGCACAATTAATTTTAATAATTGCATTATTAGGTATGAACTCCAAAAGTAAATTTCTTATAATTTATAAAGTAAAAAATTATCAGTTAATAAAATCAGAGCTCTTAGGTTTATAGCCTATTTTTGATGTCTCAGCTTTACATAAATAGCATAGTGTGAAATTCAGTCCTGAATAGATTCTACTTTTGAAATTATATTTCATCATCATCAACCATTTTCATTAATGATACATACATATCTTGAGCTGAATAGCGATCACTTCAACCAACATTAGTTTCATGAAAAAATCCAAAATGGTAATTATTTTTTGGAAATCTTTGCCCCACTTTCCTTATTTCCAAATTTCTGACTTTCTTTTAATGTCCAACCTTTTCGCTACCATCGCCAACAAATACTTCAACATATTAACAAACTTGATTTCAAATTCTATTAGCTGATGATGGTAACACATTATTTGTTATTATTATGCGGATTAAAGCATGTTGAAATTTAATTAATTAGTTAATTATTTGCATTCAACATGAGAATAAAAATATGGACAGACTTGTTGTATTCACCATTTCTTCCATCATATTTTTCATTCATTCATTCATTCATAAAATAACACTTAATTTCATGGTAGTGTGTGTCCTTTTCATGCTAACATTGTCACCGATTAATTTTTGGGAGAACGAATTAATGATTAATTTGTTATGAGGATCAAACTGTACCAGTGAATAGTTTTATGTATGATTAGATTATTTCTCAAGTCGGAACTTGTTATTATTATTTTTTTCAAGAATAATCATTGTGAAGGTGCATGGAATTTACATACACGATGTTTCATTAGAGGGCTTCTTCCTCGACTAAGCCTAAAATTGTGTCTCGTCGACTTAGTCAATTTTGTAGTCTTAGTCGGCTTTGTAGACCTTAGCACTACGTCAAATTATGTCGAAATACAATGTAACAAAATATTAATAAATATCTAGATAAAATAAATAAATGAGATAATGTAAAGATCAACAATTCCCGGGTAGTAAAGGCGTGTTTCAAGAAACCTCAAAAATTGGAATTCAGTCAATCATTATAAAAATAATAAACTATGACAATTAATAAGAATTCTACAGCACAGAACCTTTCTTTATTTGCCAGATTCAAAAAGTTCGTCGAGTGTGATATGGCGCTATTTTAATAAAGGTTCATGCGTGATGATGAAATTCATTCAATAAAATTCGGATTTCGATTTCAATTTATCAAATATTTCTTTCGAATATTCATTTGCTTGTTCGAAAATAACTAGAGGAAAAAGTTCTAGTTTTAGAAGTCTATGTTTATTTTGATTGATGTGCTACTATTTCTATATCCGTTTCAAATTCAAATTCAATTTCAGTCGAAAGTTTTAAGAACTAATACTTTAATGTCATCATTTCGTATTCATGACTTTAAACATAAAATTGTGATTATTTAACTCTCATTAAATCACATGAATTATTTGCACAAAAGAGAATTGAATTGTGTTTGGATAGAATTAATTTAACGGGTTATTTTATTTTATTTCTTTGAATCAATGACCGGTCTTTGGAACGAGCCAGTTCGTTTGATGAAATAAAAGGCTGATAATCAATTAGCATAGCAGTTTGATTGGTCATTTCATATCACGTGGTGGAGCGATATTTTATTATTATGTTGCTATGTTCTGCAGCCCGTCAACGCTCATTAAAACAAATTGTTTGAATAAATTTATACTTTTTGATATCAGAGCAACAATCATGATATAACAAGTGCATGAATTTATTTTTATGTTCCAATGTGGTTTTCTTAAATAACTGAATTATTTTAAATGAATTATAATGCACACACATTATATGGTGTTTAGATTATACCATATATAATAGATGTTATTGCATTTTCAAAAAATACATATCGAAGAAAAGGTCCACGCTGCGAAAAAAGCAACTTCGAGTTAATACTATCAATATACGCAACTTTTTATTTTTACATAGAATATGTTTGGATTGAGAAACCATATATATTACTACTTTGCATAGTAAAATTGTCCACAAACCAATAATAAGTTCCTTCTTATTTCATGGCTCTTTTCTAATGAAGTTTTCTTCTTGGCTGAACATAGTAATGAAATTTAAAAGGGTTTGTTTATTATTAATTATATATTTGTGATTAATTTGACTGGAGTTACAAAAAAAAATAAAGAAATACAATTTAAAAATCCAAAGGATAAAATCACTACATAGAAAACAAATTAAATAATTATCTATTATTGTTGCGACTGTTGACTAAAAATTGATTTATGGCATTTTGGATATTTTGAAGTTGAGATGCTATGTAAATAAGTAGTTGCTCATTATTGTTTTGGTCAGTGGTGACAATAGAATTAATAGAATTTTGATAGGAGCCTTCCCCGATCCCAAAAGAATTATTCGGATGATAATTAATGTTCGTAGCAGTAGTTGGATTCTGGTAAATGATATCATTGAGACTAGAATATTGATTGAAATTATTGCTTTGAAGAATTTCGCCAGAGTTTTGATTAGTATAATTATTTCCGACATTCTGGCTGTTTAAATCATTTTCCCTGTGGTTTTGATGAGTATAATTATTGCCTCCAAGGTTTTGATGATTAGTAGAAACAAGATCATGGTTATTAAAAACATTAGCCCAATTGGTATCAAAATAATTTTGATGACTTTGATCGCCCATTTTTTAAATGGTTTTTTTTTATATAGAATTATTTATATTATTTATTAATTTTTTATTTTTTTTTTTTTAAAAAAAAAATTTGCTCTTCAATCTTTTTATGTTAAAATGTATGTTTGTTAAACTTGCTTAATACGGGTCTTTCATATTTTCAGGTGTAACCAGTGAGCGCATTATTTAAAAAAATAATAAATAATTTTTTAATTTCCTATCATCATACGATCATACGATGCTAGCATAGTGGAAGTTTTTTGTTACACGAAATGTTATATAGAACCCATTGCTCCTGAAACTTCACCAGTATATAATTGTTGCCTCTCTAAATTGGAGACCAAGTTCAGATCCAATTTATCACTTAATTTTTTATTGCCAGAATGTTTACCGTATATTGTAAAGTTACGTTGCACAGTAACATTTCAAATTTTCACAAGCTTGATTGGGTAATTTTTAATGATCTGCATACTAATATAAAATTTCCGAATTTGGAAAAAAACACAACAAAATGTGCAGTCTTCAAATTGTTATTCCTTCTCCATTTTCAACGATATAGGTACCAGACGTGAGTGAAAAAAATAGTAAATATGTAGTATTTTAAAAAGTTCGGTATTGTAAAATATTCATTTAAAAATATCCTTTGTTGCAATACTTTTTGCTCTATTACAACTTTCAAACAAACCATATAAAATTAACATACTCTCTCTGTATCAGTATTCTACGTATAGTTTTCAATCGAAACAACTTAATTGTTTTGCAAATGGATGAATTTTGCAGGAGAAATAACAGTTTAAAGTTTTGATACTATAAATTCCATGAAAAAATCCGCATATATAAATTTTTTAATTGATCAACCAATACTACCGCGACAGTTACTCGTGTCTTTATAATAAATTGATCAACATTTCTCTCATATCATCAATTAATATTTTATTTTTCTGCGACCTGTTAACGCGCATTAAAGCAAATTATTTGAATAAATTTATACTTTTTGATCTCAGCGCAATAAGTTACCTTAAATAACTGGATTATTTTAAATGAATTATAATGCATACGCATCATATAGGGTTTAGATTATACAGTATATAATAGATGTCATTGCATTTTCAAAAATTACATATGTCCATACCGTGAAAAAAAGTAACTTCGAGTTAATACTACCAATACACGCAACTTTTTACATAGAATATGTTTGGATTGAGAAACCATATATATTACTACTTTGCATAGTAAAATTGTCCACAAACCAATAATAAGTTCCTTCTTATTTCATGGCTCTTTTCTAATGAAGTTTTCTTCTTGGCTGAACATAGTAATGAAATTTAAAAGGGTTTGTTTATTATTAATTATATATTTGTGATTAATTTGACTGGAGTTACAAAAAAAAATAAAGAAATACAATTTAAAAATCCAAAGGATAAAATCACTACATAGAAAACAAATTAAATAATTATCTATTATTGTTGCGACTGTTGACTAAAAATTGATTTATGGCATTTTGGATATTTTGAAGTTGAGATGCTATGTAAATAAGTAGTTGCTCATTATTGTTTTGGTCAGTGGTGACAATAGAATTAATAGAATTTTGATAGGAGCCTTCCCCGATCCCAAAAGAATTATTCGGATGATAATTAATGTTCGTAGCAGTAGTTGGATTCTGGTAAATGATATCATTGAGACTAGAATATTGATTGAAATTATTGCTTTGAAGAATTTCACCAGAGTTTTGACTAGTATAATTATTTCCAACATTCTGGCTGTCTAAATCATTTTCCCCGTGGTTTTGATGAGTATAATTATTGCCTCCAAGGTTTTGATGATTAGTAGAAACAAGAGTTTGGTTAACAGGATCATGGCCATTAAAAACATTAGGCCAGTTATCATCATTATTAAAATCGGTATCAATATTGTCAAAATAATTTTGATGGCTTTGATCACCCATTTTTTATTATTTATTATGATTTTAAATGAGTTGTATTAAATATTATTATTTTTTCTTTTTTTTTTTAAAAAAAAATTTTTTATTTTTTTATTTTCGTTTTGTTCTTATATTAAAAAAATTTCGTTTACGGTAATAAATTTTGGACGAAATGTGTTTTTTAATTTGGTTAGAATGTATGTGTTTTTTTCCCAAATTATATTAATATAATAATACTAAGAAATTCTGGACCCTAGTCTAATCTTAATCTCGTTAAAAGTTAAAAGTGAATCTGAATTTATCATTCATCATTAATTAAAACTAATCAGATTAAAGTTATATGTATACATTATTACATATGATTGTACAGGTTCAATATTTATATTTATTATTATTTTTATTTTATTTAGATTGATCCATTTTAAAAATTTTTTTTAAAAATTCTAAAAAAGGAATGGCCAGTTCCTTTTATATTATGTTGGTCATTTTTCAATTGTTTTAGAATAGACTACAGGTTACATTTATGAGGCGGGTGCAAGTAAATAACAACCTTTCAAATTTTACAAGTATACTCTTTTCACTTCAACATTCCGTGATCCATTGGAAGTAACAATTTTTTATTTCTTGATTACAATTCATTACTAAAATGCCAGTTGGTTTTTGTTCTGTTTGCAAAATAGAAAAAGATAACTCTAAGTGGCGAAATATTTCAGAACAAGGAAAAGAAAAAGCGGAACTAGTGGGTTATGAATTAAATATAGGCGAAAGAATATGTTCTAAATCTATAATTCTTATATAGCATATGATGGATATAATAGATATAAAAATAAAAATGAATTATTACCTCATTTAAAAATTCCTTTGTGAATATGCAATATTTTTAATACAACAACAACACTATCTTCACAATGTATTTCTTCGCCGTCTATTCCAACCATCTACTCAAGTAATTTTGTATATGGTCGCAAATCGGCCTTCACCTATTTTTTTGATATTTTTCGACATTACCATAAAGAATCCATCAAAGATAATGATCATTATCAAAGAAAACCTGAAGATGCAACATATAAAATGAGAAAACCAATTGAAATGGAAGCAAATACTAATTTTAGTTAAAAAATCAAATTACAGAATTTAAAAGCAGAATTAGAAAATATTACTAAACCATGAAGTCAGCATATTAAATATTAATTTAATATTAATCAAATAAATTAATTTTATTATTATTAATATATTTAATATATTTAAATAAATTAATTTTATTATTTTGTTTTTTAATTAAATAATTAATTTATTATTATTATTTGTTTTTTTAATAATTAAATGATTAATTTTTGGATGCTATACAATTTTTTAATGATCAAATATAAAGTAAAAAATGGAATTATTAATGATCCTAATGAAATGATCAAAAAAGAGATCCTTGATATGTTATATAAAAGTAGAGCCCTTCTCAAAAAATTCCTCTACAGAAATAAGTTTAAAAAGAAAAGTAATGATTCTCTGTTACCAATTATCTGCCCAGTTTTGATTCCTGCTGTGATTATGAAAATTGTGAAATAGCAGATGACTACAATGATGATAATTGCATATTAATTTGTGGTCCATGAATATCATTATCAATGTCTTCAAGATCTACAGTTTAAATGTCAACATTGTCTTGATTATTTATTGAATGGCATTGAGTAGTTAGAAAATTCTATATAATAATAGATTAGAAAGTTTGGATAATACATCTGTATTAGGTGAAGATGAAGAAGGGGATGAAAATACTATAGATAATGAAGAAAATACTAATTTGGAAGGGTTTCCAATAACAATAAGATTATCTTCAATAAAATTATCATCTTCAAAATCTCTTGATTTTCTTTTTTGATTTGATGGATTTTTTTTTGACTGTACAATTAACAAGTAATTTTGAAAGCGAAGCTGATAATTAAGGTAATTATAATCATTATTCTAAACAGAACATCTTTCGCTTCACAATTTAAAAAATTGCATGGTCCTAAATTGATTTTATTAAGGATTTGTATTGTGGGAAAACAGGGGTAGTTAAATGATAGCTATTTTACTAGCTAATAGTTTTGTTGTGTCATTTAATTTATAAAGATATATTTTATTGCAGGTCAATATTTTGTTATTTTCTTTATTCAAGTTAATTTACAAGTAAAGCAAATTTTAGTTAATATGACTGAATTGGTCTTGATCTGCACGTAACTTCATTTGAATGTTCCTCAGGATTCAATCGTTCCATATAATTCAAATTATCTAAAAAATTGCATTTGAAATTTGTTATACTAAATTATTAATCACGTTTTATATGTTTAAATTTTGTTGTAATGCGAATTTAATTATAATAAGAATGAACATGTGTGACATATCAAAAACCAATCAAAAGGTTAGTTTTGTGTGATGACAAAATTTGGCCAATGAAATAGCTCGTTTTACAGTGTCCATTAAATTCATTAACAATAATAACAACTATATACAACATTAATATTAAACAAACGTGACATTAAACGCAATTTAACAATAATCCGCGTTTCGTTGACAAAGACACTGCCGATTTGATTAATGATCTAAACACCGTGATTACTAAGGTTAATCCGACTGATGCCGATGGTCTCCAAGAGATAGTAGCCGATGCCGATGGTGTTTACACCCAGCAAGAAAAACTCGCCGCCAAGCAAGCAATTGCCTTGCGGCATAGTATATAACTGGCATAAAAAAATTTTCTGAAGAAAACTCTGCTCCTCTTCCTCAAAAGGCTTTTTTTTTGCTCACCTTCTTTGGAAGATCTTTTTTTTTTGTTCTCCTTTTGAGGAAGGCATTGCTTCCTTTAATATATAATTCACACCACCAACACTACCAATACCACTTCTTCAAACTGTAATAGTCAGTCAAAAATTTTTATATTTCTACATTAAAAAAGCACGCCGTAACAGAGCATGTTGCGAACCGGGCAATAAATTTTTACCATTTCGATAATTATGAATGTAAGTTTAATAATTAAACTAATTATTTTATTTTATTAAATATTAACAAATCTGTTTCTCTCTTTTTTTTAAGACGCTAAATATCAGCGATCGAGTTGAACGAATGAAAATTATTGTTATATTTTTCCGGACACAACAATAGCACTGAATTATAAACTATATGTAATTTGAATCTTAAAATTAAAGAACCATTAGTAATTGATAAATCCTTATGAAGTTTAGACGGGGTCTTTTAATCGCCGCACATGCAGCAAGATTCCGTCTTCAATATACTTGGAACTGTCTGCCCCAATTATTGGTCTAATGGAGCAATGCATAAGGTTAAGCGTAAGAGCCACTACCAGAACCATTACTAGGATCACGATGCGATGATATCCGTAAAAAACTCACTTGGATTGACGGGTTGCGGATCAAAATTTTAGAAATTTTATCATTGTTTTATTATATATTTATGTAACATCAAAAAAAAAATTTTTTTGTAACATTAAAATAATCATTTTTATTTTCATCTAATTAATATTAATTCACTTTTCGTTGTCCCTATTTGCATTACTCGTGATGGATAATGATAATGATAATTACTGTCAAAGCTCTTTATATACCAAATCCTCCTGGGCCGAGAAATTTCGTGTCAATCAATCAAATATATAAAATTGCAATCCATATAATTTATTGGCTGCAACCACATATGATTACATGTTGCCCATATAAATTGAGGCCTAAAGACGGGTGTCGCAATTAGCTATAATTCAATTTTCGTTGCAATTTAATTTTTATATGCCGCAATTAGTTGCATCTAACATAACACTGATAGAAAATTTTGGTTTTTCCAGTGATCCCTTTTAACTTATGTTTTTTCAAAATTGGTTGCACATTGGTAAAATAAACCAATTTCCTTCCATGTTTATATTAATATCAAAATTTTTGACCAGTGTAATCATCTTTTCATTTCACCATCTTTTTTTTTTTTGCCATCAATATCAAAAACTAGAAAAGAAAACAAATCATCTGGAATCACCAGCTTGAAAAAAACATTTAATCGAGAATAATGAAAATAACCCTGAAAGTGAAAATGTTATTCAGAAACTGTAAAAAAAAATTTTTTTTAAAAGAACTAGAAAACAGAAGCTAATCAAGAAGAAATTATCCAAGGGTTAAAAAAATAAAACACATCATGATTTATATCAATTACTCCAATTAGCATAGTTAAATTTTCTCTCATTAGCTATTTATTGTGGCTAGAATTAAATAAAAATGTGCGGGATCTATAGGTTACTTTAAATGAGCAGATGATTATTTATTTATTTAATGTTAATAATGTTAATATAATTTCTTCCAATTTATTTATACTAGATCGTAACAACAATTTTCGCGAATGTATATTTATGCTTTACTCTCAAAACCACCCCTTTCACTATCGTTAAACAATTCCTTACTAAGTAATACTAAACAATATCTTTTCTTTAGATTTCACACTATATCCTGATCACGTTTCTTGATAGGTGCCCTTCTTAGGTGTTACCTTACTCAAGTCGGGTACGTTTCCCAAATCAAATTTATTAAATATTATCTCACTAAAAGAAAAGAAATAAAAAATAATAATAAAAATAGAGACAAATATAAAATAAGAGAAAATTTATTATACACGGGATTAGTATGAATTCATCGTTAGAGATAGATTTATCATCATTACGAAAATATAAAATTCGAAGACAACAGAACAACAAGGACAAGGACAAGGACAAAGTTAAGGATAGTGTTATTTACTAAATGATTATTATGATAATTGATTGACGATAAATTGATTATGATAATGATGAAGATAATGATACACAAACCTAAGAAAATTACAATGTTATTTATACATGTTAAAGGTTCTATAGGACCACGGACAATCATAATTGATGTCATATGGAAAAAAGCGGGTAAAAAATTGTCTTTAGGTAAAAAATAAAAAAGGTTAAATGTAAAAAATTTTAATCTCGTATGTGAATTTATTAAAAAATTTTCATATGTAATAAGGACAAAATATCAAAGCAAATATCCCATTAACCAACCAAAAATACAAATACAAATCATTTACAATAAACGGTTTAGTGTCACAAGCAGTTAGCAATTTAACGATCAACCAAAATCACATTTAATATGATGGGGGATGAGAAAAAGATTAGACAATATAAATCAAAATACTGAATTGAACCAACTAAATTTAAATAGTTCTGGTAAGAATATTTAACTTCACAAAATTTCTCAATTTTAATCAATTCTAAAATCCATCTTTTCAATTTCTAGCATTATATTATCACTCAACTACAGGAAATTATAACTGATGTTGATATTATTTCAAATGTTTCCTGTAAATATATATTAATCTTCAAAGTAATATTGTTCTCACATTTATTATCAAAACAAATCATCTATTATCTTGGTAGTCAAGTTTCAATAGTATGAATAGTGCAAATGTGATTACTTTACATTCAACTGCATTTAAAATTTATAAAACTCTAACAGATGAAAAGATTTTATTGTCTATTATGCATTATTTAAATATTTAAATAAAAACAAATAGGTAAAATTACATATTTTTGAATGTGGTATGAAAATTTCAGGATAAAATTATCAAGCTTTTTCGGGGTAAAATGGTCATTCTCGCTAATACAATTGTCTGGGGCCCTAGTTCTATCATCTAGTTCTCTAAAATCCTAATTTGTTCCAATTAAATGTATTTAAACCTTCCATGTAGAATTATTTTCAAGTTATTTCTAAATGTGATCAAATCATTTAAATTCCTTCGTTTAAATTTAATCTGAGAATTAAAGGTCTGTTACATTTTAGATATTTTCCGCGAGTCAATGATTTTAACAATATGAAATTGGATTGGTTTGAATTCTTGATCAGTTTTTCCGATTTATTTATTGATTTTCCACGATCAGTAAAATTATTATTTTAAATATAAAGCACACCTTTCATTACATATCAAGACACCTTTAAATTTTCCTTGAACTTTCCCCTATATAGAACCGAAAATGGTTTTTTGAGGACTTAAAAAAAGGTATAACTTTTAATGTATGGCCTATGGCGACTAGTGTTGGTTGCCAAAACTATTTTGAAGAAGCGAAAGTCAAAACTAAAATTAAAAGTTATATGTCAAAACTAAATTGAAAGTCAATAGTCAAAAATCAAAACTAGTTTCGACTTATGGCGAAACCTTTTGATTTTCGCACGGTTGCGAAACTCTCTAATTTTGGAAATCAACACTAATGGCGACCTAAGTGACTAATTGTCATCAGGGTCATTTTCCAACACTATGTACATCAACCACGCAAAATAAAATTGAGAACTATCTAAATACTAACGTGTAACGTGACACGCACCCTCAAGTCAAATCGATTGGCCACAAACGTGTCCATAAAGAGAAATTATCAAAGACTTCAATTCTCGCCTATTCACGTGACTTGTACCCAAATTTAGAAGAATTTTCCTTTTCTGGGCACTTTATTGAGAATCACTGGCGTGTAACTGGTTACTACCCCCCTGAAATTTATTTAAGTGAAAAAAATCAAGCGTATTGTATCTCTTCGTACTTTAGATTTTATTTTTATTATTAAATAGCAATAGAGAGAAAATAAAGATGTCGTCATTCTACAAAAAATTCAATAGATTATCAATCGATAAAAAAAATAAACACTCTACGGTTAGGGAAAATGGAGAACCTACAACTTTAGTTTTAGAAGTACCAACTTTTGTATCTTCGACAAATATTTTTGTTCCTGATCTGTTAATTTCCAATGGCGTTAATCATAATAATAACAACAATAATGAGAGTAACGAAAATAATATTATTAATGGTGGTAATAATAATACATCAACATTTCCAATGACAAATTCATTGTTTAATCATATTAACTCAAATATAAACAACTACAACAACAGCATGATCAAGTATCCTTTAGAAGACAAAGAGGAATTAGAAAAGTCAATAATTGCTGAAACAAATGATTTTCTCAACATATTAAAACGTGATCTAAGACCTAATACTCGATTTTTTGCTACTATCTCTTCAAATAATAGTGCTAATGCAGGTAGATATTTCTATTGGTCAAATAAGTTTTTAAAGAAAATTTAAAAGAATAATGAAATTAATTAAATAAGCAATTATTTTTTAAAGAACCACCAAGTACTTTATCAACTGCCACCAATAACACCAATATCATTAATACTAATAATATTAATAGCATTAGTAATAACATTGGTAACGTCACCGCAAACGCAACTACTGCTTCATCCACATCCACTCCCACAACTATCAATAATGAGACAGCCAAATCTGATGAAAAGAAAAATAAAAGGAAATCAAAATTAATAAATAAAGTTGATGATGGTGGTGAATTGACAAATAAAGGAAAAAGAAAAAAGCCAGACACAACAGTTGAAAAAAATAAGAGTAAAAAAAGGGATAAAAAAATAAAAAATAAAATGGTTATTGATAGTGTTATTGATGATGCTAATAAACAGCCAAAACTTTCTGAAGAGGAAAACTTGGAAACAATAAAAGAAAAACAAAATAAGAAAAAACAAAGGAAAACTTCAATGACACCTGTCACTTCAAAAATGAAAAATGTATCAACAAAGAAAAGAACGCCTAAAAAAAATAATCAAACAATGCCACCGCCACCGCCGCCGCCACCACCGCAACATTCTTCATCTTCTTCATCCTCTTGTTCATCCTCATCCTCCTCCTCGCCATCACCATTACCATTATCGTCGCCAAGAAAAACCAAAAAACCAAAATTAGTTCATGAACCAACAATTCCTTTACCATCGTCATCATCATCATCATCGTTGTCGTCATCGCCTTCGCCACCTACAAAGATTTCTTCATCAAAAATAAAGCCTGGAAGTTTAAGTATGATTTTAAACTTGGACAATAATATAACATTTGATCAATCAAATATACATTCTACCACAACGAATTCATCAATATCTTCAGATGATGAATAAAATTCAAGGTGAATGAATAGCTCTTTTACTTTATTTATATATGTGTGTGTGTCTGCTCGTACGTGCCTAGACAGATTAGTCACTTGTGCTAGTAGGCTACTTCAGACTTTCCAATTAGGGTGTCAATACAGGTTTCAACAGAATAATGATTATCTATTATTTCTTTCATTCTACTCGTTGCCTGTTATACATTCATCCAATTAGTTAATTTTCACTTTCTCTACCATAATTTACGGTTTTATTTTTTTATATTTCATTTAAAACAAAAAAAAATTTATATAGATTTAAGAACATTTTTCAGGGAAAGAATTTTAGATTCAAGATAGTTATTATTAATGTAATGATATTTCTCAATTAATTTTTTTATCGACTCATAATAATAATATATTGAATATTGCTATCAAATTCTATTAAGATATTATTATTCATAAAGAATTAAAATTCGGTGTTTCTTTATTAAATGGTGTGGATATGCTTGCTAAAGCTATAGAAAAGTTTTCATCACATTAATATAATCAACATGTTACCTATAAGGTTGTGTTACAACATTTAAAAAGGAAAAGCAATAGAAGATGGAATTAGTATTTGAGAAATAATAACATACAGAAGAATATTTTTGTAATCAGCATGCTAGAAGACTTTCCAAAATTTATAGTAGTAATAGTAAAACATCCTGTTTTCAAATTCCCATTTTCAACTAAATTTGCGCGAAAAGATAGTTTAGGGACTAGTAGCATAACACAGTTTTTTATTTTATGCTAAAAATCATCGAAAATGCATAGGCTCAAGAACCAAATCAGGTAGAGCAAAAAATTCTGTGGCTTTATTCTTTAAAGATATAGGAAATGTAACAGAATTTTATCAGCATTATAAAAAATAAAGTTATTATAATAATGAGGGTTTAAATTTAGATGTAAAATTATATATTTGGTTTATTAATATTTTATCGTTATTATGATAACTCATTATATTCGAAGAATTTTTATAACCGAATCTTGCACTGGTCAGTATTTTCCTGGATTATAGCTATCAATGAGTAAAAAATCGGTAATTTTGTCAATACAAAATAAAAAAAAATCATAATTCGTCATTTAATATTATCTGATTTTATAGTTATTTTATTAATAAATCAATTAATTAATCCATTATTTTTCATTCATATTAAAATAAAATCATAGCATCCAACAACAAAAGAATCATTAAGACACAAGTTTATCAAATCTACAATAAAATTAAAAGAACACATTGCAAATCGTGACAGAATTTTATTAATGTTTGAAAGGTTTTGTAAGTATATATTCATCCATCAATCTTTATTATTATATAATAAACTATAATTCGTATGACAATATGTTGACTAATTATTTATTTATGGTTTTTCGTAAAACTATACAAAAGAACAATTAAAAATAACAATTCATTAATCGAGGGTCACTAGGATTTCTACCATCCTCACTATTTACGACATGATATCTTTCTTCTACCTGAGCTCTAATTTGTTCAAAACAAATTTTAGCCTCGATAAACTGTATCTTTATATAAATATAATCGAACATAAAACATTAATTGATTATCCAATAAAGTCTTCTGGGTCTTAAAAACAAGTTCTTCGAACTCAAAACTCAACAATGGATTATTAACAAAAGTTTTGTCGCGTGTTTTTTTCTCTTTCTCTAATAGATGACTGTCCATTCAACAATAACAAAACTTGTTACTATTTACTATTACTGCTATTAGAAATTATTACTACAATAAAACCTGTCACGGCGGATGAACGGGGCAACATATTTTTTTACATATGAAGCAAAAATCTTAAAAATCCGTTATGACAAGAATTTAACTATAGTTCGCTGTGACAAGGTTTGACTATATCTTGCATCTTGTGGCTCTATTGTTTCAAGGATTCATTATAGTCATAAATTGGTGGACCACAGATCAACGCAAAAAGATAATTCTTTTCCATATATAATTCGATTTGGGCCATTTTTTAATGTAAATAGCTCACCGGCAAAACCTGGCTTTTAATTTCAGGATATTAATATCTTTATTGTTACTTAAGGGGAGAAGTTTCGGTATTGCAGAAAGGTCGAGTACAGCAGATGGGAAGAAAATTGGCCACTGTGGTGACTGGATTCTTGGAGCAAAGAGGAAATATCAACGAATTGGTGCGAGAGGAACATCAAACTGATGCCTGATCTGATGAATATGGCACCAAGTCAAAACTATTTAAGGATATATCGATCAAGTTATTAATTGGAGTAAAAATATAGGAATTGTACATGCTAGCAACAGACCTTTTGTGATTGACCAAATAAATTTGTAGGATTGTTAATGATAGCTTTATACATGGATAATCCTTGTGGATATATTTGTGAGAAGTGAGATTATGGAGGTTCCAGATAATGAACAAAATTTTTCATCTATATTGTTGACTATACATCTTGGTACTCATCTTCTATATTTTCATAGTTTACCCTCATCCTCAGAATAATATACTATATCTTTACTGATCGATGGAATTGCAACATTACCATTATCTTCATTCGCGCCAAGTAAATAAAAAAAAATCATTACAAACGATATTTTTTCCTCTTGCTCTAATTCTCCAATAATACTTACCCATCTATTATTTCTTTTCTAGTTGATTTTCTATCTCTTACACATTCTCACAAAGTTGATACGTATGTAACCTCGATAAAGTCGGTGGAGATCGTGTGACCGACTTATCAAGTAAACCGAATTAGGTTTTTTTGAACAAATTTGAATGCTATCCAGAACAATTTTATTTGGTATTAGGATACCTATGCTTTCTTCCTCCTTTTCTTCTTCTGGTGCTTCTTGTGCTTCAGCAATTATCACATCATCCATCGTTAATCCGTGCAACAAAAACTAGTCGTGAAGGTTAATATTAATTTAATTATGCTCGGGCCAAAGTAATTGACCGACTTGGTATTATTGTTTATTATTATCATTATTATCGTGACTTTATACGTATAGATTAACCGACTTATCAATTTTAAAAAAAAGGGTGAAAATTTTGGTCGAGCCGGGCCAAAACCGACCCACATATGTAGTCATGTGAAGATCGACAATAACGTTGTTTATCAAAACAAATCCTATCTTATGGTAGGTATATAATATATATATTTATTTAAATGAGTAATTTGACACCGCGTTCTATGAAATCAGTAGAAGATACAATCGATAGAACTCCAGAGTATATAAGCTTCATAAAAAGTCTTGAAGAGTTCCATAAAAATCATGGGTAAATAAAAAATAAATGAATCTTACCTTTTTTTTGCAAGAAATGATGTAAGCTTATACATATATGTTTAACCTCTGCAATAAATAGAACCACTTTCCAAAAAGAACCTGTTTTGGGATCAAAGAAATTAGATTTGTATAAAATTTATCAAATGGTGATTGCTGAAGGGGGGTGTGAAAGAATATGCGCGGAGAAATCATGGAAAAAAATATGCGAACGTTTTAATTTTCCACAAACTTGCACAAACAGTGCTTTTGTGATGAAAAATATTTATATAAGATTCTTGGAACCATACGAGTTGGAACATTTTTGGGGTAAAAAAGTTCCTTATGGTGGAATTCCCGGAAAACAAATATCTTCGCCACAACAACAGCATCAACAGCATCAACAGCATCAACAGCAACATTATCATCATAGTGAAACCCCACATTTTGTGCCACAAGTAGCTCCTGTTTCAACAAATCGAGTTTTAAAGATTTTACCACATGAAACTCCAAGAAATGATTGTAAGATAAATTGACGATATCATCTGTGTATTTTTTTTTACTTGGTGAATTAAATATTTAATATTATTATCATTAATAATTTTAATAAGATTATGCTAATCCAGCACAAAGAAGAATAGTTTATAGCCTGCCAATAGATTTTAGTATGGGAATAAAAGATGATTCAGATGAAGAAAAAGGTAAATAATATTTGAAATGAATGATCTACTATTTTTTTTTGAGAATTGCTATTTCTCACCGGTGGTGATTGTCACCACCTAAGGAATTAAATTTGCGTGGGGCGGAGTTAGGGTTGGGGTTAATCATAAATTGTATAATTCCTTAGGTGGTGACAATCACCACCGGTGAGAGATAGCAATTCCCTAAATAAATTAATGAAAAATAATTTTGTTGTGCGACAAACAAAAATTAAAATTTTTTCTTTACATTAACAATGACTTTACCACTTGAACTTTTAACTGAAATATTTAAATACAATGATGATGATTATAAAACATTATATTCTTGCATTCTTGTCAATAAACAATGGCACAATTTCAATATTCCAATTTTATGGAAAAATCCATTTTATTCTAAAAACAGTCTCAAAATAATAATTAATTGTTTGTTGGAAGAAGATAAGGATTTCTTAACAAGAAATAGCATTGAATTGACTTTTAAGCTATTGAATAAGCCACCATTATATAATTATGCCAAATTTTGTACTATATTTTATTTCAATTATAGTTATATTCAGTTGTTGACAAACAATTCCAAATTAGACATTTTAAAAAATAGAGTAGCAAATTTTATTTTAGATTCAGCAGTTATTAGAAAACTTTGCATTTTTTATTGCAATACAACTACTTATCTGGCAAACAATTGTAAATTTGATAATAAATTTTGGAATCTTAATGAATTAATTTGTTATGGTAATGATCTTGTTAGTAATGAATTAATTGATAAGTTAGCAAATATTTGCAAACATATTCAATCATTAACTATACATTGTAAATACAACAATAAATTTGAAGATAGTCTGGCTCAACTAATCAAAGCACAAGATCAAATAAAGCAATTAACCATTTATTTTAGTTTAAACCTTGATTTATCAGATAATTTCAAAAAAGCAATTCTCACACATTCTCAATCAATAATTTATTATTCAAGTATTGGATTAAACAATTTAGATCATATATTATTACCAGCACTTAAGAATTTGAAGACTTTAAAATTAACATTATTTTCTGCTGATCCTCATTATGGTGACAGAATAAAATGGTTGAGAAATACTTCACAGCCAAACATTGAATCTGTGATGTTAAACATTTATGGGCAACCATTTATATCAGCCTTGTCAGATTTTATTAGCATTAATGGAAAAACTCTTAAATATCTGAACATTAATGGTACTCAAAATGATATTGAATTTTTAGGAAAGCTCTTTCAATCAATTGCACAATGGTGCAACAATCTAGTAGAATTATCAATATTATATAATGATGAAGTAAATCAGGAGTTAACAAAAGTATTCAATAATTGTATTAAATTAGAAAGTATTACATTCAGTTTTGTTTTTATGGATACATTAGATGGTGATAAAATACTCTCAGTACTAAATCAAACATTACCAAAAAAATTAAAGTCAATAATGCTTCCTTGTATGTTTTCTACTATCAATGTCAAGTCTTTTGATAATCTAACAAAAAATTGGAGTGGATCTAAACCATTTACAATAAAGTTTAATGATTTTCATAAATTAATGGATTAACTAAATTATTTAAATTATTGTAAATTTTATTATTTGATTTTAATTGGTTTGGGAAAAAAAAATAAAATTTTTTTCTTTACATTAACAATGACTTTACCACTTGAACTTGAAGGTTTACGACCACCAATACTGCCTGGAATGCCTGATGATTATGCACAAATGATGCAGAGGTGTTGGGATGCGGACCCATAAAAAAGACCAACTAGTAGAGAGCTTTATGATTTCGCTGATAATAAACTAGATGATATTATTAAAAATGAAAGTTTGAAAAACAATAGTAAGAATAATAGTTTAATAAAAAGATTATTCAAGTTTCCTAAAATTAAAAATCATGATAGCAGCAGCGGTGGTGGTAATAATTCGCAACAAGTATACGAATCACATCCAGATGCATATCATACAAGTAGAATCTTGGATGAAGAGATTGCTAAATCAAAGAGCTTGAAAATTTATACAAGTAATGACAGTTCGTTAAACAATCTTGATTTTAACACTCTCCTATTAAATGCTGAAGGTGAATAAAAATTTCATTAATTAATTAGTTAATCGGAGATTACTATTCATTAATTATTACTAATAATATTTTTTATTATATTAGATTCTAATAATTAAAAGAAATCGATGAATGACTAATTTAATCTCCATTATAAATTATTCGTTATAATTATTTGTCTTTTTATTTTATTTCTTAAAGCTAAATTATTTTGAAAGAATAAATTTTTTGATTCTTGTTAAATTGTGGTATTGTATCATTTCAGTTGATTAACAATTATGGCTTAACTTTTGGCTACCCTTGTCAGTTAATTGCAAATAATTCGGTGCTTGTCAATTAATTAGTTTACAATTTACTTTGGTTTCCTCTTTCTTGCACTTAAACAAAACTATGGACACCTAGTTAAATAAATCAATATGGCCTTTTACAAAACTCAAGAGCTTCTATAAAGTTCCTTTTATTCACTTGTGATCGATTTATTCGTTTGCATTTATTGACTCGCTTTGGTTTACTTGAAAAACAACCCAAGTAGCTTGTTTAACAGCCTTACGTTTACAATTACAATAATGCCACCAGTATTTCCAATTATACCTTTGAATGATGCTTCATTAACATTCATCAGGTAACCAACATTAATCCTAACCTTGCTTGCTTGTTCACTAAGTAAATAAACGTGGCTTTTTACCAAAGTTCCACAATTGTTACCTTTTTACCAAGACATTAACTACACTCATTGCTTTTATCAAGGCGCTTTAAACAAAGGAAATAAAGACAATATTTTTGTTTAACAATTAATTTTATTTAATAAAAATAATGATTCTATCAGAGTTTTATTTTATTAGAATGTTAATTATCCTCTGTGAGGACAGAAGTTATCTTTAATGAAATTTTTGTTGATACAATAAGGATAAAGATAAAGATTATTGAAAGTAACTTAATAAATATTGATATTATAATTATTTACATAATAATTAATCTAAAATTAGAACATAAAATACAGATGTATTCAGCAAAAACAAAGGAGATTGGGATACACGAGAAAAATATAAAAAAAAGACCTTGGAATATATATTTATAAGTTTTTTTTTAAGCTTTTATATTTTATTAGCCTTTAAAGCAGTTTTACTTGCGTAATTTTTGACTTAATGGCAGCAAATTTGATGTTTTACAATTTTGGTGACATTTCGTCAAACAACATTGTTGGTATCATTAAAAGACTCAATAGGTTGGCTAAGAAGGTATAAAAATACTTTATGCTTTTATGTGGTTATTACTTTATAGGGTATCTATTAATAAGTTTTATGAAAAAAAAAAATTCAATACTTAGACCAAGGAACAATTAGATACTTGGCCACTAATACTTGTGTGACAATGAAATGGAATCATTTAATTGTTGAAAAGCCAGATTAGAGTATATCAAGCCATCAGATGTATTTGGTTGATAAAATCAACGAAAATAAAATACATTAAAGTCGATTTGAGTAGCTGAAAATCTAAATATAAAATTGTCTTTAGTCTTAATCGATTGATGGATGAAACACAAAAGTTGACCTTAGTCACAAAAGTCAATAAAGTAGAACTATTTTTGCCATTATTAATAACTTCTTCATTCTCTCCTTCTTCGCCATCATCATCTTCATCTCTTTTTATTAACTCATTCCTGAATTGCATCTATCGTTTTCTTCTTAGAATTTTTTTTCTTTGGTCCATAAGGTTGGAATATTGATATTGTGCCATTGTTTGTTGACAAGAGCACAAGAATATAATGTTTTGTAATCATTTACAATATTTCAGTTAGAAGTTCCACCAGCAGCCTTATTTTTTGGTGAGATGAGACACTAAATGAAAAAAATTTATTTATAATTAAAAATAATTTATTTTGAATATTAAAACTAGAGTGACGGCGAGTGGCGATAGCCACCACCACCATTCTTTTGATAAACACTTACCCAGCAATTTCTTCTCGATTATTTTCTTTAATTCGTTTTCTGTTTCCTGATAACATTTTTAAGAAAAGAAATGAAAAAACTGATTAATTTTTTACTATAATTAAAATATTTCTCAGATAATAATGTATAGTTAAAAAAAAAATATTTGCAGGATAATTTTTATAGTTGATTAATTTTTTACATAAAGTAAAAAATAAAGTGAACCTTTACATATTTGATCTACAAATACATTTTCTACAACAAAACGATTATTTTTGTTTCAATTCCAAAAAAATATTTTACAAAAAATTCCTTCCCAAAAAAATATTTTAGTTCTAAACAGAATTCATTATTCAAATTCAATTCTGAATTCAATTCAATTCCGAATCCAATTTTGAATCCTTATCCATATTCATTAAAATTGAACCGCGTTTTTTACCTGAAGATCTACTTTGTTAATACTTTATTAACATAAAAAATTACACAAATTTTGATATATGAGGCAAATGATAAACGTATTAACCCTTTTATTGAAAAATTCGATAAATATGGAAGGTTACATGCATCAAAACTATTAGCCCGAAATTTATTATGTTAATTAAATAATGTATTATATTATTTAATATTGTCATTAATTTTTATATTTACATGCATGTTGCTTTAAATAAAAACAAATTCAAATTTATGAATTTCCGAAATTTTTATTCACTAGTACTAGAACACCTAGGTAAAAAATATGGCAGTATCCTTTGACACAACCACGCCACAACGAATGCAAAAAACAACCTCGACAGTATTCTGACTAATATCTAGGTTGGCAACATCACCTATTGTTTCATTGCA